GAGGACACGTGGTAGGGCTAGGAGTGGTGTGTCTTGAGGCAGTGCTATGGGTTGCTCTACTGTATCGCGAAAACTTGCCCACTAATTAAAAGGGGGCATTGAAGCACAGACTACAAAAGCTTTCAGCCTTTCTTATTCCCCAATCAATTAAAAAACAAACAACCCACCCCAACAAAACAACATAACAAACATACCCAACAAATAAACAAAGACAAAGCAGGAAAAATACGGGTCCAATTGTGAACACGTGTGTTTGAGAAGTGCCCTTCTCCAGTGGAATATTCCAGAGGGCTTCCACTTGAAGAAAATGTCCAAATTTCCTGTCATTACTAGAGCATGTTAACCCTTTGCAGACTGATGGTGCTGTAAGCAGCACTTCCACCGTTTCACTGAGCTGAGAGGTAGAACTGGGCTTGGAATGAGATTCCTGAGGGAATCCATAGGGTTCCACCACCAGAGCAGAGAGGGTGGAATTTGAGTTTTTCTGCTGTGTTTGCAACACAGAATTATGTTCACTGAAGTCTTGATGTAGTCATAATTATACTGATTTTTCAGCTTTTTGGAAGAAAAGTGAATATGCACGTGCAGTTCTGAGGCCGCAGTAAGCGCCTGTGAGCATAAACGTGTCTGAATATTTTCTGTTAAGTGAAGGGTCTTGTTCCAGGTATGTCACCTGGCTGAAAAAAATCCCATTGATAGGAGTGTGATGCTCGAGTCACATAGTGCAAAATGACTAGAAAGTTTCTCGTTTGCATCCTCACTTTATTTTCCTGGCTTAAATATGTTTAATTGAAAAAGACCTACAGAAAACAGCATTCCTAACATCAAGTCCTCTAATTTAAGAGTGCATGAGGACGTGCTTCTGAAGGGCAGTTAGGCTCAGAGTTTGCAAAGTCAGCCTTGCAACACTTCACCCATGTGTCTCCTACTGCCATGTGTCCTGATCTGTGCAAGTTCATGCCCAGGCTCTTCGGGGCAGGGAGCGTGCATGCCGTTAGTTGTAGTGATGCAGATAGCTAAAAGCAGTTTGCTTGTCTGCAAATAAAGAAGTAGCACATACAGAATTTAGTAGCAGCTGAGCTGTGGGTTTGGTGCTGGCAGGGCTCTGCTGTTTAAGGACCTAAGCAGCGCTGTCAGAGGGTCGCGTCGCAGGCAAAGACAAGAGGTACAGCAGAGGAAGAGGGGGCGCCTGCAGAAGCAGGAAAGATGAAGAAGGCAGTGACTAGCATTGGTTAGAATTTCCTGCATTTCTAAGAGTTTCCTACATTAATAGTTTGGTTTGCCTTGCAAAGTTCAGTTACACAAGCATTCCCAGTGAGTATGTGCAAGAGATCAGGAAAAAAATGATTTATATGTGGGACAAGAACACAGTAAAGCCTAATACCAGTCTTCTGTCCATGTGTACTTCAAATTTCTCCTTGTGTTGAGCTTCACAGTTTCAATTTAAGTCTTACAATTTCTTTTTTTGCTTTCTGTATCTGTCTGTTGGAAGAGCATATTTTTGATAATCCTGTCAATAACAAATTGGACAACAATGTCAAAAATTGGAAAATAGTGTCAATTGGAGGAACTTGTAAAATGTTGTTTGGGTGTGTGTTTATCCTCTAATGGACAGACATTGGGAGCATGCCCATAAGCAAAAGTTTGCAGAATTAGTGTTCAATTCTGATCGTTCTGCACAGGGGGCTCTTGTTGTTGCCTCTGACAGAAAGCTGAAGCTGTAAGAGAAAAAAATCCTAAGGCTGAATTGTAGATAGAATCTCTGTGTGTATTATGTGGCACATCTTTCTAACCAGAGATCTTCCCAGTCGGCACGGGAGTGAGAGCAAGTGCCATATAATACAGAGACCCTGGGATTCCACTGCGACGCAGCCGCACACCAGCTGACGCAGCCACTTGGTTGGAGGTGAGTGTGGGAGTCCAGAGGCCACCGAGCGACTTGGCTGAGGCCAGACATCGCTTCGGTCTCAGGAAGGCATCAGAGCCTGGGACTTGTACGTGGCAGTTTGGTGCCCAGGTCACAAGCCAGCGGTGTTGATTAGGTGGCTGCAGAAGCACTGTGTACGGTAGTTAATGGATATGATAAAAAAATCTTTTCTTACTCTATTTTTCCAAGTTACAGGAAAAAATAATATGTTCAAGACCCATGATATTAAAAAAAATAAATTATTTCCAGTAGAATAACTTGTAAGTGTATTTACTCTAAGAAAGGCTAAATTGCAAAGAAAACAGCTAAATGTAATTTATCCTGTTTCTTCTGCATTGGAAGAGTGATGTCTGGAGCAATTAGGCTGTTTTTAACTTACCCGCCATTAGGTTTCTTTCTTCTTTTCCACACCTGTATGTAGCTCAGTTTATGGATAGGGAAGTGTGCAAGAACATTCTGAATCCTCTTCCACCAGCGTGCGTAGCGAAAGGCTTAGGACTCTCGACTTCACTACAGAAGCTGGAGTTTATAGAGGCTGGGTGTGAGCTGTGGTTGCTAGTTACTGGTTTTGTAGTAGTGTCCTACGTAAGCATCTACTTATGACTGCTTTAATTGCGCAATCTTGAGTCTAATTATGCTTATTTAAAACTGGTGAATGGTCGAGGAAAGATGATAAAGAGTATCCTGGTGCCTTAACTACTAGGAGAGGTAAACATCCCAATTTGGATCTAATGAAGGAAATACAGTCTTAAATAGACAGAAGAAACTCAATTTTGGATGGTTTCGTTTTGCATCACTGTAGGTTTTTGGAGACTGTATGTACAGAGCGCAGGTATAGACAAATATACAACTGGATATATGAGACATGAAGTGATCTAAGTAGATCTGTAATATATTAGTGTCACTCGGTAGCATCATGACTTTGTATAGCATAAACCACTTTCTTTCTTTGTATTTTTTTTAGGCAGGTCTGTCTGAAGGTCGTTCACACAACTGCATATGATATAGTCTTTTTGGAAGCATACAGAGTTGTGGCACTCTCATTATCTGTTCCTGATATGATTACCTGTATTATGTATTTCTTATGTAAGAAGCAGTACATCCCACTGAGAGGGCACTGTTACACCGTCACTTGTGCATCGGGGATTTCTGTTAAATACAGAGGAGTGTTTAATGGCTGTCTCTGCTTTTAATAATTTTTGTTTATAGTTTGGCATTCATAATATATGCACATAGTTTCTCTGTAGTTTTTTGGCTTGGCATCTTGAATTAGGGCCTGGAGGAAGCTACAGAGCTGCTCTTGTGGTGCGAGCCCTGCCCACTAATTACAGACACGCTCTTCTCCTCTCCCGAAGCTCCCTCGCACACTCTCCTCCCTCATCCTGCACCACAGCTTATCTAGAGCTGTGTCCTCGCCTGAGAGGCACTGCCAATGGATGTGGCTGAGGAGTAGGGGGCGTGCGGGGAGAGAGGCTGATCCCTTGTTTTCCTCACCTCCACACTTCTACGTTGTCTTTTTTTGTCTGCCATGTGGAGAAAGGCTGAAAAAACGGGGCCTCTTCAGCCTTGGGAAGAGAAGGCTTAGGGGGGACCTTGTCACCATGTACCAGGACAGAAAGGGTGGCACCAAGCAGATGGAGACTCCCTTTTCACAAGGAGTCACACGGAGAAGATGAGGGACAATGGACACAAGTTCCATCTGGAGAGATTCCCATTGAACTCCAGAAAAGATTTTTTTTACCTTGAGATCAATGAGATATTGGAACAATCTATCAATGAGATATTGGAACAATCTATCAATGAGATATTGGAACAATCTATCAATGAGATATCGGAATAATCTCGCAGGGGAAGTGGTGAATTCTCCTACATTGGCCAGTTTTAAGAGTCAGCTGGACAGGGTGCTCACACGTCTCATTTAAATGACACTTTTATCCTGAAAGGTTGAACTGCATGATCCTTGTGGTCCCTTCCAGCCTGGTACTCTGTGATCCTATGATTTGTCTGTTGCTGTTTTCACATTCATATCAAATCTGCCTGCAACCAAAAAAGCAAACTAATTACCTGCAGCTTAAAATTTCTTTTAAAAAAGGAATCTAAAGTTTTACTGTGGTTTCTTGTGTATTTTTTCAGTAAGAATTTGTGATTGTGTGTAGATGCATCAGACCCTCTGAAATATTAACACCTGTTAGATAAAAGGTCACAATCACAGAATGTCAGGAGTTGGAAGGCACCTGAAAAGATCCTCCGGGCTGCCTGGGAAGGAGTTTCACGGGGAAGGTTTGATGGCAAACGTGTTCCTTGTCTTTAGGGACCTTACTCTTGTGGGCCAGAAGGATCGGCCCCCTGCGTGCTGGACTTCCATATTAATGCAAGACTCTCCCCGTGCTTCGTGGTGCTTGGGACTCTGCCACTTGACATAGGAGTTAAGTTACTGATTTGGGCACGTGCATGTGTTCTCCGCTCTGTGACAGGCCTATGCCACATGCTACAGAAATATTGTTGTCACTGTCCTCAAACATTACTGTTTCCAGCCTTCATAGGTGTTTTTCCTCCCCATTCACAGAGTTACAGGGTGTCAGAATACAGAAGTTAAATGAAAAATGGAGGAAATGTTCTACTTTTTTAGATAAGAAGCCTGTTAAATGAGGAACTTTCTCCAATCTTGTGATTCTTGTGGTATTTCCATGCAATGTACAGTTCATTACAAAAGAATACAGTTACATGAATAGTTTTTATTTATTGCTGACTATTAGAATGTGATCACAAAAAAGGCTGTATTAATTATCTGATGGAAAAGTCAAAACTGGGAGCTTAACACAATGGATTTGATAAAACAGTGGAAGTATTTCTACAAGGAAGGGGCTTCATTTTTCTAGACAAGAGGACAAAAAAAAAGAAAATACAGTTAGAGGCTAGATAATTAAGCACTGTGAAAGAGTGAGACTTGATTATATTGCAGTGTAAGAGGTCACCAGTTTTTGTGGAAAGTTGCTTCCTGTCATCGCTGTCCCTATACGGAGGAGAAGGTCTTGCCATGTTAATGCTGAAATAGGAGACTGGTTCCATCACGTTACGCAGGTGCTACTGCAATGGTTACAAATCCCTTAACGTGTGAGAATTTGTCACAAGAGAAGTCCACTTGCAGCTGTAAGGGACCAGCCCTGCGAGGTGTGAATTCAAAATAAATTTTTGATCTCTCCCTCGGTGCCAGTTGTGCCAGACTGAAAAAACAAACAAAACAGCTCAGTTAATTCAGGCTTGCTTTGTCTTTCCTTGAGATTCCCAAGAAGCAGAACTCCATGACAGCGAGGGCATTGATAGTTACTTGAGACCCAGCCTTGGTTTGGAGAATTACTTAGGGTTTGAGGGTTTGTGTAGGCTGAGAAAAGATAGTGCCATCTTCATTTGCTCTTGAACAGACTGGTGGAAATGCGAAGTGCTACATCATGCCTCCATGTTAGGGCTGGGTACGAGTTTGCATGGTCATCACAAACACAGAACAGGAAAACTCATGTCAAGAGTTAGCGCTCTGTCCAATGCCTGCTTGATTCATACCCATTTGGGCAATAATACGATTTTTCTAATGGCCAGGGTTCTTTGTTTTGTGTCTCCTTTTGGTCTAAATTGGCTTAGTATTTCACTGTAATAATGTTTTCCATATTTTTGTGGGTGATTATGTCAAAATATTTTCAAAGCCACAGGAAGACAGGCTGTTTTATAATAAAACAAGCTTTAGGAAATATGAACTACTTGACACTGAGTTAATCCATAAAGCAGCAGAGTTCAGAGGAAAAGAAAAAAGTAAGAGAACACTTTGCTCTTATGTTTTGAAGAGGCACCATTTTCTCCTTCTTTAAAGGAGAGCGGAGCAGCTTCTTGTTTGGGCTGAAACAAGGGTAGCTGTGGCTGTGCCTTACTTATTTGCTTTAGCTCAGATTTATTTTTGTAGTATTGGGATATGGTGAATAAAGATAAAAACATGAAGCCAAGCTGTTTAAGTATCAGAGAGACAGAAGAATTTGACATGCCCATTTGCTTTCTCAGGAAGGAAGAATGGTAGCAGTTTTTAGTTGTTAAAGAAGTTCCTATGTGGAAAAAAGAATTGGGAAATCATAATATCTTAATATATATTTGGTGGCATTTGTATTTTCCTAAATAGAAAATACGAAAAAGACAATTAAACCATTATTTTTTCTTATTGAGAAACTAGACATGATATTGGTCATGTTAGAAGCACTGAGTAAACGCTACAGCTTTCACTTACTGTATCTTGACCTGTTGGTTCATCAAAGTCACCAGCAGTACGCAGCGGCTCACAGGTTCAGGGAGGGGATTGGCATAGGAGATCTCCAGAGTCACAGCTTTGTTCACTACCACCCGCCGAGGAATCTAGACGATAAAGGCACGTTTTTTGATCGTTCACTGGTTCACACTTTTCGGGAGCCACACCTCTGTCAAACTGTAAGCAGAGCACCTCTCATATTTGAGGATGAATGAGATACTTGTAGGAGCAGTGAAATTTAACTGACATTTCATATGCCATTCCTAATATTTGAAGCTGAATTTGGATTGGCTAAATAGTGCTGTTAAGGTGTTTTGTACACAATTTTGGTGAAACAGAGCCCTGTGCTGGGCACTGGTGGGGCAGCCCCTCAAATCCTGGGGTCAGTTTTGGGCCCCTCGCTCCCAGAAGGACATTGAGGGGCTGGAGCGTGGCCAGAGAAGGGCAATGGAGCTGGGGAGGGGTCTGGAGCACCCGAATGATGGGGAGCGGCTGAGGGAGCTGGGGGGTTCAACTGGAGAAGAGGAGCTGAGGGGAGACCTTATCCCCTCTGCAGCTCCTGAAAGGAGGGGGTAGCCAGGGGAGGTCGGGCTCTGCTCTCTATAACAAGCGATGGGATGAGAGGAAATGGCCTCAAGTTGTGCCAGGGGAGGGTGAGGTTCAATATTGGGAAAAAATTATTCACTGAAAGAGTGGTCAAGGCTGCCCAAGGCAGTGGTGGAGTCACTGTCCCTGGAGGGATTTAAAAAATATGTAGATGTGGCACTCTGGGGCTTGGTCTAGTGGGCATGGTGGTGTTAGGTCAACGGTTGGACTTGATCCTAGAGCTCTTTTCCAACCTTAATGATTCAAGGATTCTGTGACTCACATCTCATTAAACCTGTCTAACCTTTGGGTTGCTGGGTGGCTCTTTTTTGTTTGTTTGTTTGTTTGTTTTTTTTTCAAAGGATTAGGATTAAAGCGTTAAAACATTATAAACTGGCCCTAACACAGATTGGAATTAAGGGATTAAGTCTGTATTTTGGGAGTAGGCAAGGTGGTTTAAAGGACTTGCCAATAACTAGAATACAGATTAAATGAAATCGTGACATAGAGCAGTGATACGTGACTGGGAAGAAAGAAGGCAGCAGAGCTGTTCTGACGAACAGGGGAAGGTTCAGGGAAAGGCTCAAAATTGGTCTCTTGCATGCTTACTTTCTCAGTTTGAGCAGGCAGAATTTTAGAGCAACATTTGAAATTGCAGCCTAAGTTAATGCATTCATCCCCAAATTCTCATCTTGAGATCGGTGCTCCAAAAAGGCTCTTTTGTGTTTTCTGTCTGTTCAGGACATCAGGGTGAGAATTGTTTACCTTAATGATGATGTTTGTGTCCTCTAAAATGATTGTCTTCTCCACCAGCAGCTTTACCCCGTGCATGTTCATGACTTCACACAAAGCAGTAACCTGGATCCTTTTGTCAGTAGTCAGATATTTTCCATAATAAGAATAAGGGATCTTTAACCGGATATGTTTTCCTGGAATTCAGACATATATTTAGGAACCATTACATTTTCAAAGAATGCTAAAGACAAGAGTTATTGTGAGAGTTTTTTAAATTACTGAAGAGAACAGAAGATAAGACAGCTAGAGTCTGATTATATTTCTTCCTTGTGAGACTGATTGTGTATTTCCCTTTTCTGGTGATCCTTTTCTACTTTAACTCATTTGACCCTTTCAGTTTTGAGTGGAGGATTTTGGCCCGAAACTGAGGGAATCTGCTTATCTGCATTTCACTGGATTCCTGTCTCTTTGTATGTCTTGTAATTAGAGGTATAAACATTTTTATCTAGTCCCTCCGTATATCCTATTGGTTTTACCTCAGTCAAGAACAAATTTTGAGTCAAGTTTCACAGTGATTCTTTTCAAGTGACCTGGTTAGCTGCTTATTGTCGTAGTCCTACAGCTTTACTGCTGTATATTGAAATAATGTTTACCTTTGCAGCCTTTGGGTATGAAAAAGATCTCTGTAATATTTTTAACAGTTTTGACTTTGCTGTTGGAGTGGGTCCAGAGCAGGCCATGGAGATGCTGAGGGGCTGGAGCAGCTCTGCTATGGAGACAGGCTGAGAGATTTGGGGGTGTTCAGCCTGGAGAAGAGAAGAGAAGGCTGTGGGGGGACCTTAGAGCACCTTCCAGGACCTGAAGGGTACAGGAAAGCTGGGGAAGGACTTTTGACAAGGGATGGAGTGATGGGACGAGGGTAGATGGCTTTAGACTGGAATTTGGGAGATTTTGACTAGATATTGGGCAGAAATTCGTGGCTGTGAGGTGGTGAGGCCCTGGCCCAGGTTGCCCAGAGAAGCTGTGGGTGCCCCCTCCCTGGCAGTGCCCAAGGCCAGGTTGGATGGGGCTTGGAGCAGCCTGGGCTGGTGGAGGTGTCCCTGCCCATGGGGGTTGGGCTGGGGGTGTTTGGGGTCCCTTCCCACCCAAACCAGGCTGTGATGCTATGACTCTTCAAAAGAGAGATATAGTTTCACTGTCACTCTAGCCTTTGTCCTAGTTAATGTCTGTGAAAGTGTTGCCTGCTGAGTGCCAGAAAGCATACATCAGACTTTTTTTAAGAGTAAAGTGTGTTCTTATACATGTAATTATCACCACACACACACACACACCCCCACCAGTGTTTCTTCTGGAGCTATAATATATATGTAGCCTTCTGTATAACATTTCATGAGACCTTCAGTTCCTGGTTGAACCAGTGAAAGTGTTCAGAGGGGGGAAAAAATGTAATGTGTAGTCATAAACAATGCTATTAAGAGATGGAACCAGTAGATGCACTACAAGGCTGATACAGATATGACACTGATGTTTTGCCTTTGGCTAAGAAGAGGGCTATGTTGGCTCCTTAGGGACATGCAAAGTTACCTTGTTTAGAACCAAGCTCCACAGAAGTGGTTGCCTTCAGGATCTCTGCCACTGCTCTCCTTGTGTACAGGATGGTCGACGCACTCATGTCCACCTTCACGGTCTTGTGGTCAGACGACAGGTTATTGAGAATTAAGATTAGGGTAATGTCTTTGCCAAACACTGGAGGTTCAGCCAGCTTGAATTTCCCAGAGATCCCAGGGTTTCTAACTGTCTCAGAAGATCTCCCGCCTGGAGATTCTGCGTGTCCCTCCGTGATGTTTGATCCAAATATTTTGGCCAAGGCCTTCTTATAAACTCGTCTTTCCTCAGAAGAGCCTGGTCGAAGGAGAGACACAAGTAAAATTCATACTTTTGTTGCAATTGCACTTGCCCTGTGTAAAGGCTTTCAGAATGATATAGGGTGTCAGCTCTGCACCACCCAGAAATATGCAATACCTAAAACTTCCCCGTATTTTTATTAGGCCTCTGTTCAGGTTTTTCACATGAAAGTAATAAGCATATTGTAATAAGGTGAATAAGTCACTGAAATGAAATATGATGCATTTGTATTTGTTTTGGAGGCAAGATTTCTTTTTCATTGGTCAGAACATGCAGTAGTGTAATAAGCATTACCTTGCTAATCTGATGAGAACCAGCCTCTGTGTTAAATATGGTTGAACTAAAATCTTGGAGTGAAATGTTGAAATATGGCCACTGATTCTGAATGGCAAACTTTAAAAAAAGTGAAAGATAAAACTATTCCTGCAAACGTTTGGCTACGCAGTTCTTGACCTTTGCTGCTTTGTTTTCCTAAGTACAGATGAATGACACTTTGTCCCTTTACTGTTTCCTGGTACTTTTGTTTCCAGAATCCAAAAAGGTGGAGTCTGAGTCCACCAGGAGTGCAAACCTGTACAAACTGAATGGCTGGGTGTCAGAGCGTAACTCTGTGAGTTCTCAGAGTCAGGGACGGAGACTGAGCGCGTCCCTCCTCCTGGGAGCAGGGTGTAACGACGTCCTCAAAAGGAAAGAGGAGGAGTTGGAATGGACACAGCAAGAAAGAATTGATTTGCTAAGAAAGACTGAGTGTGAGCTCTCACGGGAGATGGATGTCTGGTGCTGGGAGGCTGGAATTTAGGGTTTTGGATTAGTGGTTGGATTGTTGCCCCACTCTCTCTGCCAGATATGCCAGAAACTGGTACTTGCTGACCTGAAACTTCACATTCTGTAGATGTCTGCACAGTTTGTGAGACACGAGGTGCTCAGTTTTAAGACTTTTTGGTATGAGAGCTTGAGGGTTTGTCTGCCTTGGGTAGTAAAACATGTTTTATACCCCTGTTTTGTGTATATATTACATTTAATACTTCAGTGTAAGGGACTGAAGTATATTTTGTATTGTGCCTTTATAAGGAAACTACTAAATACACAAAACCTGAAATGTAATACCCATTGTGTTAAGAAAGTAGCCTGAAAACAATGGCAGAAATATTTTCTGAAAGAAGAGGAGAGATGCTCACACAAAATAGGTTCCCCATTCTAGTTTCCTAGCATGAAGGGTAGGAGATAACTGTGATAACGTGGAGATAATTTGTACGATTCCTTTACCTTCTGGATATTTGTAATTATAGGTGACATCCATACGAGAATTGCTGCCCACAGCTTTGGTGCTGATAAACCTGCCAATTATTTCAGTATCACAATAAACTCTTTTCTTGGTTCCATCATTATATACAATCCATCTGTTGCAATCGGCATTCACCTCCGTGTACACAAATAAAGTGTCGTAATCCAAGTCTACGTCACCTTCTTTGACAGCTGTGACAGATGCAGGGCCACACTGAAATAATCCTAGAACATGGGGGAAAAAAAAAGTCTACCTTGATTAGTCGTGCTCAATTTAGGGAAGAAACGTTAAGTCATGCTAAGAATTTATACTGTTACCTCTGCTTTGTTCTTGTGGAGTTGCGTCTAAAACCTGCCATCCATTGTATGATGTTCCCAGGTCTGGACGAATGAACCAGCTTTCATTCCAGACGTGGTAATCCCTGGAGACAAAGAACAATGTCTAGAAAGCACAGCAATACGGAGTCGTACAGGCTTCCAATTTGAAAGGAGCAGGGGAATTTTGGTTTTTAAAGAATCTCTAAGATGTGACACAAGCTGTCTGGTTACAGCCACTCACTACGTCTTGCGTAGACCTCAGGGCAGGGAGGGAGAGAAAATAGGAGTCAGCAGCTTTCTGTGGGAGCAGTATGAACTACAAGTGAAAGATTTAAGCCTTGAATATGGCCAACACTTGGTGATTGGGTTCAGTAACCCTCAAACGTGGGATATGTTTTATTTAAATAGGAACTTCAGATAGCTATACTGGATCAGATAAAATGCTCATAGTCCAATAGTCCATCTGTAGGAGTGTGCAGCAGCAGAAGTTTACAAAAGACGTAAGCACAGCACATGATAGAATGACCCTTCCCCTGATGTACTCTGATTTCTCGCAGTCAGAGAATTAGGGACTTTCTGCATTAGATGTTACATTGAGACCACTGGGTTTAATGGTTGTTAGTCGCCTTATTCTCTATGAATCTCTTTTGTCCTGGTTAAAATCTCTTTATAGCTTTGTTTTCAGCAGCATCCAGTTGTCATGAGTTCCACAAACTCTGAAAGGAAAGGATAGCACAGGAGACTGGTAAAGTGTAGGTCAAAGGAGGGCCCAGAAGTTATTTGTTGGCTGAATTGTGTTCAGAGGCTAATTCTTCTAAGGAAATTAAGACTTGAAAGGCTTCCCTTATGCTTCAACCACACACGCTCAGTGAAAAGAAGCAGATTAAATCAAGATGATACTTTTGGTGAAGCCTAGTGTGCACAGAGACTTTGGGCTATAGGATATACTCTTGGGTGTAGTTAGTTCACTTTCTGAAAAGTGAAGTGGCCGCAGAGTAAAGATTCTAAAACTGGAAGGCAACTAAAGTGTAAAATGGTATTATTTAAAGAATATCATGTTTCTTTGGATACTCAAATTTTGGGGCTTGGTTGGTGATCGTGGGTCCCTTGCAGTTTACAGCACTGGACTGTAACGTCCGATAACCAAGTCTGGAGGGCACTGGAATGGTTCTGTCTCTTTAAGGTCCCACAAAGGGAAGGTCCAGCTGGAAAACTTGGGGAGGCTTCCACCTGCCTGGGGAGGAAGATGGGCCAAGCTGAGAAACACAGGCTCTGGATGTGCAACGGGAGAAGGTTATGGCAGTGGTAACCTAGGTAAGAGCATGGGAGGTGCACAGGAACAGACTGGTTAGGTGTCGGTGATAAAAAAGAGCCTCAGGAACCAGTATGTTGTCGGTGGAAACAGACTTTTACAGAAAGTTAGAGCTTGTTTAGGGTCAGGGTCTGAAAAAAATTGGACTGGTTGGTTGCTGAAAGTAGCTGTTAGCTGAAAACCATGAAGCATGTTTTCTTTCCAAATTAATGTCTAGCGTATTAATTTAGATATTTCTATTAAGTTTTGTGCAGTCAGTTGCTTTTGTACTAGTAGTATTCATGTGTTTATGTCTCACAGATCGTCTAATTATTGGTGAGATGCAAAAAATTGTATTTACCATGTGGAATCCTTGCCGATATTAAGACTCTTTCCAGAGCTGTCATAGTACTTATCAATACTCAGGTTTCTATCCACATCATGGGCAGAGTTAAAATTGGAAACCAAACGAGTTGGAATCCCCAAGCACCGCAGAACTGAAATACATTTTAAAAAAACCAGAAACAATAACCACACACTGCTTTAGTTAATTGATTACAAATATCTGAAAACAAAGTTAAGTGTCTAAATATTTTGTTATTCCTCAGCATTTGCAGTCTTCAAAGCACTGTTCCTCTTGTGGAATTAATTGCTTTTTAGTTCTGATAAAACCAGAGGTCACAAATGCCTCCATTTCCTCTATTCTTTAAGCTCACCTGTACACATCACACCTGCAAAAACCCAGCACTGGCCGTACTGAACAGGCCTGTAGTTGTCCTGGCGCCATTTCTGAAGGATGACCACGCTGCCGTCCCATCGGGATGGGTTCTCATGGGAATGGAAACTTCCTTCCCACTTCCCCAGGAGAACTCCGTTGTCGTTGTCATTTCCATTGATCTAAACACAGACCCGTGGACAGAATGCACAAAATCAGTTGTGCAAATGCACCGTATCTAGTTAATCCAGTTAATACCGCGTAAGGTGCGGGTGGCTGAGTCTCAGTGGTATAACTAATGCTTTCTTCTTATGCATGGGGAATTCAGATTGTTAATTTCTTACCATAGAACTGATTACTCGGCCCACGTATTTAGGATCTCCTCTTCGGGATACATCGATGGCTGGGTCCTGACGATAGTACAGGCTCAGATCAAGCATAGTGAGACAGATGTTTAGAAGGTGATCTTGAAACTGTAATCAGATAAGATAAATTTTTAAGAAAACAGATAATTTCTCAAACATTAGAGAAATTAGAGGAGATTCTACTGCAGTTCCTCCTTTCTATAAGATATTCCAGCCCAAAGCTTACAGGGGCAATGTGGCACAAAGACAGCAGCGTGCAATTCGCACTGTAATATTGGCTACAGACAGGCCTAACTAAATAAAGCAGAAATCTGCCTTGTGCCATTAGAAGGGAGGACTGAGTAAAACTAAAACTGCCAAGCTTATTCTGACTGCAGTTATTGGATTCTCTTGAGTTACCTCCTTGGAAACGTTCAAGGTCAGGTTGGATGGGGCTTTGAGGACCTGATCTAGCTGAAGGTGTCCCCATCTTTAAAGGTCCCTTCCGTCCCAGCCCGTCCTGTGGTGCTGTGTCAATGTCAGTTCTGACCCATTGTGACTAAATTACAAAACAGCGGGTGTGTTGGAACCACACATGTAGATTGTGACTTGTGCTGTGGGTGCTTTTGCCACAGATGAGGTCCACAGTTGTACGGGGAGCTCCAAGCATGTGTAGACGACAGTCCTAGCTGCAGTGCTCTGCTAAGTCATTTCTTACACCAAAGTCCTATTAGGAACGCAGTGGACAAACCACAGGAAAGGCTAGCCAGGTTTGCTCAGTGTTCATGTACTTATAAGAGAGGCAAATAATGATAAGAGAAAATGCTATTGGAGACAGAACAAGAGCCCAAATGAATTCCTTATGTCTTACCTGTCCGTAATACCATCCTCTTGCTTCAATGTACTTTGCATTGCCCACAAAGATTATTCCATTTTCATTTAGAACGTATTCTTGTCTCTCATTTTCATCAGCCATGTAGACATCATCACCTGAAAACCAAGTTGGACGTGCCTTTACACTTAAAGCTGAGAAATGCTAGCAACCTCTCTGTGTCTTGATTCAGCAAGTGGAGAACTACTCTATGGAAAACACATTGTCACAGCTCCCCGAAACTGTTCAGTGAAAATGCCTGCTAATGTACATGGCTGGGGAAGGGGGCACGGAATCCATGTTGTGTTACTTTAACTTTTCTCCCTAATTTTATTATAGCCTTTGTGTATTATCTAAATATGCCCTCTCTATATGTTGTCTTCTTGAGGAAGATGGAGAAAAGTCTATGCTAGCTCACTGCGTTTCTCAGCCATCTCAGAAGTAGAATGGACATTTGACAAGAATCACACAGACGATGTTTTTCTCTGTTTTCCAGTCGTGTTTCTCCCTTATGAGGAGCGGCTGAGGGAGCTGGGTCTCTTTAGTTTGCAGAAGAGGAGACTGAGGGGAGACCTCATTCATGTTTATAAATATATAAAGGGTGAGTGTCACGAGGATGGAGCCAGGCTCTTCTTGGTCACAAACAATGATAAGACAAGGGGTAACAGGGACAAACTGGAACACAGGAGGTTCCACTTCAATTTGAGAAGAAACTTCTTCTCAGTGAGGGTGACAGAGCCCTGGCCCAGGCTGCCCAGAGAGGTTGTGGAGTCTCCTTCTCTGCAGACATTCAAAACCCGCCTGGACGCCTTCCTGTGTAACCTCATCTGGGTGTTCCTGCTCCGGCAGGGGGATTGGACTGGATGAGCTTTGGAGGTCCCTTCCAATCCCTAACGTTGTGTGATTCTGTGTTCATCTTGTTTTAAGATTCCGAAATGAAGATAGCACTTTGGATTAAGCAAGTAGACATCAGAAGTGCTATTAGGATAGCCAGCATAGCCATTCGCTTCGATTTCAGACTCTCATTGGTTTCTCTAGTCTGTGGCACAGGGTGTAGCTGCTATGAAAGCATTGGCTTCCCACAGATGTTTATGTTGTTTTGATCACTCCTTAGGTAGCAATATCTACTTAGCTCTGTGATTAATTTTGTAATGTTTAAAATTATTTTCTGAAAGCTTCAGGATTTCAAGAAATACATATTAAAAAAATCAGCTTTTCTTTTTTATTGAGCCAACTTCTTTATCTTATTGTAGGAACTTCCCATCCTTCCCTTCTGCAAATAAAAAGATTGTATGATTTATTTTAAAACTTTTATCACGTGATCAAAGTCTGGTTTTGTAGTGGCTGTCCTTGCTTTTTTTTTTTTAATATGTCATCATTGTTGTTGATTCCTAAGCTTTTGGGCCAGCGTGGGCATGGAGAACTGAGTGCAGTTCCAGGTGTTGCACCTCAAGATGTGGAGCACTTGGAAAGAGCGAGAGTGGCACTGAGAGTGCTCAGCAATCCAGAAAATAGAACTTATGAAGAAAATAGAGCTTATTAGAGACACTAACTCAGAATTATTTAACATAGGAAAAAAATGGGATGAGGAATGGGGCAAGCATGGTAATGAATTCCAGAAATTCTTGTGAAGAGGATGGGGCATGGTGGGAGAGGAAATCTGTTCTTGGTGTTTATCTTATGTAGGATAAGTAATGTGCTGAAATCGGGGCAAAAAATATTTGGTTAGTTAGTAGAAAAAAAAATCTAATGGACAAGCTGGTGCTTTATCGGAGTGAACTGCCAGGGGAGGTACTGGAGCTTCCCTAATGGCTGATCATTAAGATCACTCAGGATCTGTCAGGAGTGACTGAAGTGCTAAACTGAACCTGCCTCAGGGCATGGGGTGGGACTGCATCACTTTCTACGATCCTTCTAGCCCTGTGAGTTTCTGAATCGGAGCAATGTAAATGTCCTTCTGTAATCGTTTGAAAGACATCTTTTTTCTGAGGTTTGTGTGCTCTCAGTTATAATGTTCTAGAGCCAGTTCTTTGAATACGCAGACTTTTAAAATAACATTTATAACGTTTTTATAATGTTATACCTTTCAGTAACTCAGAGCAAAATTAACATCAGTTTAAAAGGATAAAAAAAACCCAAACAGATGAGACCCTGTCACCTCATACAATGGCATTAATATTTAAATCTGTGTAACTGTTTCCTCTTATACAGTTCAAGGTTGCATTTGCGTTTTTCAGGGCCATTTCACTTTGGTTCTTGTTCTTTGATTAAAAAGGACTTTCAGACTCTTCATGATTTTCAGCTGTTGACTTTGCCATTGAAGTTATTGTTATTTCTCCCTTAAATGTATGGTGTTTTATTTTGTGTTATTATATCTTATCCCTTCTCAACTGTTCCTGTCCCTAAGGTCATCCAGTTATTTCAGCTGTTCCACAGCCCATCTGTGTATGGACAGTGCTGCTTAATGTCAGCATACAAAAGTCAGTAATGAACCATTTGATCAGAGTGTTTTTTCAGATGACACTTAAGGATCTGCTAGTAGATTTTCTCCAATCTGATGCTTTTTCTTTCATCTCCAGTCCTGACTGTTTCTTTGTACGTAGTTCTTTACTGATATTACAGTTTATTAATTATTTCCTGTCCTTTGCAGCTTCATGAGTAAGCTCCCATATGGAACCATCTCTACAGACCAGATCTGCCATTTATCCCTTGCTGAGAAAATAAATTTTCTATTTCCCATCTGCTATGACACTTACTACAGTGGTGAGATGCCCTCAAACTGAGTCTGTTCCTGTTTTTGGGGATCAGGGAGCTGTTCCACTCTGCAGAAGCTTATTCAGCAGCACCCTCCTTTAAGGATACTCCCTCTAGTTTGACAGTGGCCATTGCATCATCCGATGGGCTCTGGAGGGCTCTTCTGCAAAATCACCAGTTTTAAGCTGGAATGGTGCGGTCTAATTTTTCTTGGTTTTCATCCGAGAACAGTTTGTCTGTTCTCATGAGTACCACTGCTGCTCTGGTGTCAAATATTTCAGTCCATTAGAAGTTACATGACAAGTGATCTTTCAGGAGGTTCTGGGAAGGTTTTACCCCTACGACTGTCCATGCAGAGACAGTCTGAGTTTCCTGAACATAGTTCTATAATTATTTCTGTCTTCCAAGGCATGCTGAGCTAATTAGCAGCTTTTTTCATCTTAGCTCTTGACGTATTTGTTAGTGGCCCTTAACTAACATACGGTTGCAGAAGAAAATAGTGGATGATTGTGGTTACTTTTCTTTCATAAGCTTATTAGTCACCTGGCTGGCTAAGAACTCCCTTAACTCTAGAGCAGTATATTTTAGGGCTAATCTGGGTTTCTAGAAAATTGCGTATTTGCAAAATCTGAGTTTAGGAAATTGCATTTTTTTCTGCAACATGCTGAGGCTGCAGAAATGAAAAATGGAGCAGCAAGAGATGTCCCTTTGCAACCCATGATGAAACATGTGGGAAATGCCAATCTTCTTCACACCAGCCCTCTCCGTTTTTATAAAGGCTGTTGTGTTGAAGTTAACATCTACAAGAGCAGTCTTGCCTTGATTTAGGTGCAAGTCAAGAACATTACTGTATACTTGCTTCCAGTTCAGAGATGTAAATGCACTTACAAAAGACCTCATCTACAGAAAAAAGTGATCTGCTCAGTCCTGAAGAAAGAGTCTATGATATCACACCATATAGCACAGTTCATTTGGATAAAAGGGGCGGGGGTGCGGCAGCAGCTTTTCAGTGTAGTGAAAGCAGATCTCTGAGCAGATAGGTGAGATTGCTGCCACTGGTGACCCAAGGAGAGACAGCTTGAGGGAGCAGCTCACTGTGCGGATGTGAAATCAAATGGTTCAAGATCAAAGGCACTGGCACCTACCTGGGCACCAAGGGTTGAAGAGTAACACAAACTGCCCCAGGAATCTGGAGAAGATCTTGTTCCCCGAGGTCACCTGGAGGATCAGGTTGTACCGCCCAATGGCAGCATTGGCTGGGCTGGATATTGTGAAGTTGGTGTAGCCGGACTCGCTGTGCCCTTGCACAGCACTCCAGCCGCTCGCCCCCACCTCGGAGACGTTAAACGCGGCCTTTGTACGATGGGACAGTGAGGGCGATGGTCCTGCCGGAAAGAGGGTGCGTTTGGTGTCCATTACAGAGTGTGGTTTCAATGTTAACCTCACACTTGAAATGAGCACATGAATGGAGGAAAAAGCATTAAAATACATGAAGAAAAATTGTATCTCTAAACAGAATAAGGGATAACTACAGGGGATAAAGATCACAGTTCGCTAAGGGACTGTTACCTATTTCGGTGACAAATGCTAGGCTCTCCCCAGTCTGCTTTGGTCTGTTGAAGTACAGGGTAATAGTGAAGGCCTGTCCTCGCCTCACGGTCAACTCGGTGTTGGCATATCTGTCAGTATGGTGCGCGCTTGCATTGAGTGATGGCTGCCAGCTGATGTGTGTTGGTGTCAGATCTGTCAAATGGAAGAAAAGACATGGAAAAGCAACCAGCGTGGAAAGAAGTAATTTGCTGGTTAGTTACATGATGAGTCTACTAAAAGCAGTTATCTTTTACCAGAGGAAAGACAACTAAAAAGGAGATGATCCATTAAGTTGATTAGGTCTAGTGGTCAATAATATAACTTTTTGCTTGGGTTTTGTTACGGGGCTGTCATACCCTCAGGACTTAGATACTTCCTATACAGTGCTGGATGCTGTTTTATCACTGGACTTGGAATAAAATGTACAGGGGCACATCGGTGTTGTTTCACTGTCAGCACCAAATAAAGTGGGCTGTGGCCCCTCTGTGTTCTCAGTATATATTCAATATGTATATATTTAGGATCCCAGACATGGCTGTTAGGAGATCTTTCTTTTCCTGCTTACATCCTGATGCCATTTGGCCTAGAGTAGGGAAGGATGCATAGTGAGAGATCATCTGTCTTACGTGAGTGAACAAGAGGTATTTCAGGACATAAGTTGGAGCTTTTGACAAAGAAATCAGTCTGGCTGGGTTTAGCTCTGCCCAAAGTGTCAACTGGACAAATGGGACTCCTGTTTTGTAGGCACTGCCTGCATGGCCTAGAGGAATTCTGATGTCTTGGTGTGCTTGGAGTTCTCGGATATCATGCGTCCTGCTGCACACATACTGTTATTATGGTCTGTGGTTTAAAACCCATGAAGTGGCACTTGCCACCATAAATGCTAAACTACCTTTTTGCCAAGTGAGAATGTACCTGTTCTTCCTTGCAAGATTGTTTTCCCTCCTGCAGTTCTTGGTTTATTGCCATGCTCAAACTTGAGCAGTTCTCCTGTCTCGGGGAGCTCTGAGAGGCGCAGCCCCCGGTGTCTGTGCCTGCCCCATGGGACTCCAGGGTGCACCTGGAGCTCAGGGCAGGTACCTCGGTGGAAAGTCTAAACCGCTTTTATTGATGCTGGTATCATAAATGCAATGAGGTTGGGAGGGGGGCCAGGATGGAGGAACATGAGCACCACCATTTTAAAGGGAATTCTAAAGAAAACAGTAACAAAAAAGAGTGGGACAGAAAGGTGGATTAAGGCCTATGGCACCATGCACTGTTACGGTTGGGATCTTCAAACAAACTTCCAAGTCTATGTCATACCATGCAGCATAGCAATTAAATACTAAGTCAGGTCTGAAACAATATAGCTGCACATTAAACTATGATTTACATATAATCTTTAAAGTAGTAGTAAAAGTAAAACCTATGCGAAAAAAAAAGTTCCATGATTACATTTAAGGAAGAATTTTTATTTATTTGTGGTATAAGACCACAAAGAAGTAATATGAGTAAGCATTGTTGAGCTGAAAAAGAGAATCTTTAGCATGACTGTTTGGGACAGTAGTGAACTGCAGTAGGCTGCTGCTTTCCCTGCAAAGCAACATTTTAAAAGCCGATTCCAAAATGCTTGTTTCATCATTAAATGAGAGAGAACCCTGTTTTGCAGTTGCCTAGTTCAATAATCATCTTCATTTTAAACTTTAAAAAGCAGAGATATATTATCATTACTGTTTTCCTTTGGTAGGGTTTTAATACATCTTTGAATACCCATCCATGTGCTCCATGCTCACAGCTCCATTAGGATGGATTTCACTAATTGTGTTAATTCAAAGCATAATGCATAAGAGGTTTAGATGGAGTTCTGCATGATGCCTTTTGAAGTAATGGGAATTTCTTTTCTCTTCCCCACCCCTCCTTGCCCCCAAATATCCTCTGCTTAGCCCAAAAACTATTCTCAGACAGGTCTTAATCATAACAACAATACAACTTTGAGAATGAAGTGCAAGAACAAATTACAATATAAAATTTCCTTCAGATAAGAAATCTGAGCAGATACCTACAGGGCACGTATCTTGAGGAAACAGCCCTGAGTTCAGCACCTGCTGAAGGGAAGCAAATGGCGCACAGAACTCACCTGCCATTCCCTCAGCTTCGGAGAACTGCAGGCACCTTCGACTTTGTTCTTCAAGGACGTCCAAGTCACATCAATCATAAAAAGAAAAAACCCAGCAATCTTTTCGTGCTGTCAGCTGCAATTTGAGAGAAGGGAGAGGTACTTAGCTGTTGTTATTAGCACCCTTAGACTTGTCAAACGAATTAACCAGTTCCTATAATATATGTGTGGCTAATGCCAATGGTCCTACTCAACGTGGGTGTAATTATGGGAGGAGATACCAAAATTATTTACTCAGAGGAAGTGCGTTCTCTTGAATCCCAAGACAAGAAAAGCTTCCTACAAAGGATAATAGGTGTGCCATGAATGAGTTATCTTTAAGGATGAGGAAATGCGGAATGTGGTGGGATGTAAAAGCCGTATGAAGGAAAAAGGAGCATTTCCTGATTACTTAACTGCCAGCTTGGTTAGTGTCACTTCTGGTTTTGTTTAACAGCTGAGAGTTGGTTTTAGAGGGTTTTTGGGGTCTCAAAGTATCTCCGATGCTTCCTTATTCACTTTTGGGAAATTATAAACCCCCACCAGAAACAAATGTCTGTTTACCTGTTCTGTTAGTCAGCTCTGTACTACTATTTCAGCAAAAGCTTTCTTTTAAAGACACAACCCCCAAACTATGAACCATGAGTAATTTTTAGCAGTGCAGACTTGAAGCCTGTCTGTCTTCAGAGCTGTGTAATATTTTTATTTTTGAACCCTCATTTAAGAGTGTACAAGTAATAAATGACATTGTTGTCAGGAGGAATATTTATCTATTTAAGATTCTGCAGCTCCACTGATCATGTTTTAGCACTCAGTAAATACTTAAAAAATAAATTAGTCTGAATTTTAAGTTACCAAGGAAAAAACTGGAATAGAAGCAGAAATTAAGCTCCAACAGCTGTTTCTAAGACGGAATTTACCAAAAAATTGGCTTTGTGCGACCTTTTTGAGAAACTTTGTTTTGATAACATGAAAACTAAAAGAGTACTTAGGACATTCGTGCTAGTCTTGTCCTGAAAGGAAAACACTGACGCTTTTCACACTTGACAGCAATATATGTGGTACGGTGTATCTCCACTTACATGGTAATGCAGAGGTCCTTCCTCCTCTTGGAATTTTCCGGGATGCTCAGGCTGTCAAAACTTCTTCCAGGAATTGCCTCCAATGGATTTGATTGCTGCTCAGAGCTACTTTAGTTGGTCTTTTTCTCTTTTCCTTAATTCATATTCCTTGGAAACCATAAGAGCCACAAGCCTCTGGTGTTACCTGATCTTCACACACAGCCCTAGTGACAAACCGCATCGACCAGTTCTTAAGTTCAGGTGTGTGTTCGCTACTTATAGCGATTGCTTCAGACGTTACACATTGCTCCCTCTGGAGTATGACTATTGCCTTTCTTCTTCCTTGCTACTCATAGAAGTAATTAAACCTCAGAACACTTTTTCTGTCTCTGCTCAACCACCACCTTTACCTCCGCATGGCACGCCCACAGCGGCGTTTGCCCAGCCACCAGAGCCGCTCTGGGACTGGCCCACATCCCGAATTGGCTTCTGCCAGCCCACACCTTCACCCAGCAGAGCACCAGCAGCCGCTGTTGTAATCCCCTTGGAATGCAGCGGTCGTGGCTCCTAAGTGACTAATGACTTAACCTTGTGAAGGTGTTTTTCCTAGCTCAATTCCACCCACCCATCACCTGAAATGGTTCACAATGTTTTCTTCCTCCTTTTCCCTTGTTTCAAAACCTTGAAATTGCAGTGCAGTTTGCTGACTCCCAGAGAAAAACATACTCGTTTATTTCATTCATCTCCTAAAAGATTTTGTCTGTTGTTCAAGTATTGCACTATTATATCCTGAGGGTAACCATATTGCACTTTACACTTGAACTGTTGCTACTCTTTACTAGAAAGAGATCAGTATAACTTCCAGAAAAAGGGTACAGAATCCCTTCTGCAAGTCTGTATCCAAATAGGTACACATTTTATTAGACTCGTTAACTTCATGTGCATGTGTAGTGTTGCAGGGGAAGGGTGTTGCCTTACTTCTAATTCCCCTAGCGGTCCAATTTACAAGCTTCTCTCACTTCTGCTAGTGCAATTCACTTGACTTTAGCATAGCCTGGTTGTTGTCACACATACGTGAGATGTAAAAAGAAGTCATGACGTGTATGACCATATTCTAAATCCAAGGCTGTGCATGATGAGAGCTTTTGGCCCTGAGGAACATCAGGATTAAAAGAGCACCACTGTGGGCTCCTTGCACAGCCTCTCTGTAGCTCATCTCCCTGTATGCCCGGAGTGGCCTCGTACTGACATAACGTCACTGGGCACGGGTGGCTGCAAGTGCCCTCCTAAAGCAAGTTTGCAGGCTACAAGGACAAAAGGGGTTTATAGCCAACTTGAGCCTGTACTGCTTATGTGACAGGGAGGAGTCCCTATGGCAAGTCAGAGGTACCCTGTGGAAGTGGGGGCACAGCGCTGGCTCCAAGCACTTTCTAAGGTTTTACTGTCCTCCTGGACCAGCAGCCCACAGAGCAAGAGAGCAGTAGCTGGACTTTCCCTTCACTTTATCTACACAAATCATTTCCAGTCGGAGATTGACTTACTGCCATACAATTGTTTGCCATAAACCAAGTCGCTCCCTGCACTGCACCTGGCTCGCTTGTTCCTGGAACCCAACTTTTGGCCTGTACCAATCCTCCTGTAAAGGTTTTAAGTAAGATTTACTAAACTTGAACTCTGAAAGATAGCTTCCTGACATACAGTCTATAGTGAAGAATTCCTAACTCTTCATGAGTGAAAATACCCCTAGATTTAAGAATATCCTCCCTTTGATTCCCAAAGATTTTTAGCAAGTGCAAATTATCATGTGTGTGCATGCAAAAATATCATGTATGTTGAGCTGGGCAATTATCTCAAACTGTCAAATGGCTCTCAAATCGGCCACCACTCAAATTCCTTTTGAACGTTTCCTATGCTTCCTTTGGTCGCTTTGATTTACCAAAAACACTTAAAATGTCGGGACAGACTCTGCAGGAAAAGGGACAAAAGGTAAACGACGTAAATAGCGCAACTCATGCTGGCTACTCTATGGTATCACAGTTGCAGTAAGGAGAAACACTGCTTTGAAAGTCTGCTGTATCAGGCTTTGAATGTGTAAAAATGAGTTTATGAATGTTTGTGTAGAGGCATCTGGAGCCAAAAAGAATTAATTCCAAAGAAAACCATACAAAGGTCAAGCAAATAGTCTTTGAATAGAAGGTAAGATGCTTTTTTTAATAACATGGACACTCACAACAGTAAATGAAGAAACAGCTTTTCATCATTTTATTTAAGATTACACTGTAAAATTTAAACAATATGATGTTGGTAACCCCTTATCACGGGAAATGAGCATTTTATTTTGCTAATTTTCTCATTGTTTTCCTCTACAAGATTTCTTAAAACA